GTCACACAATGTGTATTGGTAGCTGGTACTCGGCAAAGTTATTTTCTGAACACAAGGATTTGCTCAGCGGTACTTCCTGCTTATCACATCCATAAAATTGGACCTTTAAACTTTAAAAGCAGGACATTATTATACAAAAAAAATGAACATCATGGCCAAGTTTTCTTCTTTTTAAGGTTGAGCCCGGTAGCAGTGATGATAGATATGGGTCTGTTGGGAATGGTCACTACCCCGAGAAAGCCTAGAGGCATAGGCGGTAAGGCCCTGGGTTACATTTGTACGGTTTCCTCCATCAAATCACAGGATGAGGTGCAGGGATTGGACAAATATCGATAAGAAATCAAAGGAATTCCTCATCAGTAGACCGTAGCAATTAGATTTGGCCCGACCTAAGGGAGGCCCCTATGCAACTTGAGATGACGATAATAAGACACTGTAGGTTAAACTTTGGAAGGGAAGCGAAAATTCCTACTGAATATGTGATCCATGTTTCTTTTTTAACCAAAAATTCCCATCTACATGTAGATGAGACTTTTCGATTTCAGATTATTAATATTTGTATTGTTTTGATACATGTATGTCTACCACACACAATTTTTAAAAAATACATGTAGTATAAAAATCGTAAAAAAAAGTGTTTTTAAGGAAAAACAATTGCAATCTTTCATTTTCACGACTACAGAACTTGATACTCAAAAGGCCTTTTTCTGTGTATTTTACTTTTTTGACATTCGATAATGCAAACTTTAAGCAGTCATAACTTGTCAATGGAATGTCCAAATGAAGTGCAACAAACAGTATTGTAAGGAGAATTTCATTCTCTTTCCCAATACCTGCAAACTCTCATTTCGACCTCTGCCCAGTTCCATCTCATTTTCCCAGAACACCACACAAATATGTTCAAAAAGTTCTAATTTTACTAACATGTACTTCAAATATTTTCTTTTATGTCCCCACATAAAGAATAATCCTGGTGTTTTTTCTAACATAAAACCACAAATCTCACCCAAAATGTTATTCCTTACAATCCAAATCGTTTTCAAACACAGCTGATATTCCCAGGAACACTTCCAAAAGTTTTCCAAATTCACTTCAAGAAGAGGCTTACAGCCGGTGTAGTGTAAAATTATGCCTATGAAATATGGACTCATTGGTTGTATTGTGCATGCCTCAGTGAAGATAATTAGGACAGTTTCAGGTCACGTGTGAGGGTTAGAGTCATAGGTAAAAGAAATTTTACGAGCGTCTCAATTTCATATGACACCGGCTCCATAACTAATCTGACCGTTCCTTTTCTAAGGGGTATGTCTGGAAGCAAAGGATCTGAATGTTGCCGAACGGACGACCAAGTCTCAGTCAGCTCTAACCAACATGCTTTCCTATGGAAGCTCGGCCCGATTTAGTCATCCGAAAGATAAGAGCTCAAACGCCGCCTTAAATTTGCTCCTCTTAACCCTGACACCTCGCTGAGAAATTAAAACCTTGCTTTTGTGAGGGAGGGAGCTGGTTGGGCTCTGTGCATGTAATTCTTGCAACAACAAACATGTCCCAGACGGTGAACGAAAAACTAGGCGGGGAATAAGTCGGGCATGAAATTCAACCTCTTGTTTTGCGGAACCAAAATATATTGCATGTGTCAAGATGGAACTATTTTAAGGTCAAGCAGGATGGGAAAATGAGCTGACTATTTTTATGTCTTTTAAGAGGTCTTACAAATAGATGAAAAGTAGTAAGCAAACATAGTGAATTGCTAGATCATCATTTCGTCAAGTTTAAGCATACATCTAGAATGATGGCAAATAGTTCGGACTTGAGTAACTCACTTATTTATCTCAGGTCCACACAATTTAATGAATAATTCCTACAGAGTCAACCCTGTTTCCACACTTACTCTAGATGCTCCAACTCTAACCTGCTAAGCAAAAATGTTAAGCAGCTAGATGAAAATGGCCTTAGGACTGTTCAAGCAATTCAAATTTCATTGTTTCTAAAATGAACAGTAAACTCACACAAACAAATGTAAAACCAAATCACAGTGTTCACATTCAGCAGCAGGTAGATCAGTGTTTCACTCAGAAATATCCGAGCGACGAAATCTTTCCTGAAGTTGCTAAACATACAAAGCAAGGAACCGCAAATCCCTTCCCAAAATTCCCCCCTCCCTTTGAGAGGTCATCCCCCTGTACGCTAAATGTCAAAGCCCTCTGACTAATATAAATACAAATAATGGGACTGTCTGTCTACACGCCCGGGCCGGCTACTTCTGTCCGCATCCGGTTAGCCCTAGGAAACGGAAACTATCCCCTACAGTCAAAATGGAAGCAATTGGAGCACAGTCTAACGAAACCCGAGACCCAATCCCCAATGAGTTTGATTCAAAGATGAGACGTCGAAACCAGACAGCAGAGTTTGCTGGCGGAGCGGATAAGAACTCTCCTAAACTTTGGTTCTTGCACGCTGAAGTACATTGACAAAAGTGACCTTGCTTGCAGATGGTTCAAATAGGTATACTTCTGGTTTATTTGAGCATGTTTTTTTTTGTTAGTAATTCAGTCAATTTGAGGCTTTTTGTGGGAGGAATAACTACAGAAAAGCCTGTAAAATAATGTCAAGATTGCAAAGGCTACTCCCTTGAATGCTCCAATTCATCTTTTTTGACTGTTGGGTAAGCTTGCAGCCACATGTTTGCTACTTTAGAAAGAAAAACTACTCACAAGATGCTATGCTCTACAATGCTCTTATTGCATAAGAAAATGATTGAGGAGTATACAGCGTAATCATAAAAAGGCCATTCATAGTCCATTCATTCAAGTGCGCAGAATCTGTCCGAGTCCGTGACAAAGCGAGAAACTGACGTCTCCCCACTGACGCCCAGCAACGACTGCCAAGCTTGACTTCCTAATCCCCCTGACGACACGACCATCTCCCTGGCTCCACATTGTTACAGTCATCCGGCTTATCCCCATCCCTAACCCTGACAGGCTTAATCCTACTTAATCTGCCCAAGTAATCTCTCTAATCCTGCCCGTAGGTTGCTGGAATGATCAAGGGCATTGGATGATTTTCAACCAAGCGGGTACTTCATACAAATTCCTTTTTTTACATGTACTACTGTACTAGTACATGTACTTCCGAAATGCACCAACCCCTAGTGCAGGAGAAAGACCCACACAAAAGTTTACAGCTCTGCTATTAAATCACTTATTTCCCATGTACAGAAACATGAAAAAAATGAATGCGTCATCACTTTCCTAAACCTTGGAAGTTACATCGACACATCCACAATTCTGTCAGCTGGACACATGTACAGTTTCACACGCGGTTAATGTTCAGAAAACGTCAAAGCGACAAAAACATGAAACAATCCAGATTGCCGAAAACTTGGGTGTGCTCATACAAGCGTCGTTTGAATTGATTAGATGTGATTGCAGCAAAATCTGTTTCCCTTTTAAACTCTGTCAATAATAATAAACATTACGAAAGATTACTAATCTAAGACATCAGGATAAGTCACTGCCTTCAACCTGGAGTGAACTTCAGAATCCTGTCCAAAGTTACTCAATATCCGTCCGAATTTTGACGCGAAACTTCACAAGTGGCACAAACTACACCAGTCTTAGAATTTGACCGGCACGTACCGTTACGTCACCCGGAAAATGCGTGCGACCTTGAAAGGCACTGCTATCCTTGAAACTTACCCCCTCCGCTATTTGTGTCTCACTGAAACCAACAAGTGATCAAATATCAAATTGAATTTCTAGGACTAGATTCGGGTGCAATTTGTGAAAATTGCGTGTAGTTTAACTCTTGGGAATTTGCAGTACATAAATTCACTTCTGAAACCACAAACTTTACTCCATATTTCACTCCAGATATGAAACAGGCGTCAAAACTTGGTAGCTCCAAACGCAAGGTGCGCACATGTTTCAGGAAGTTTGGGTTAGGTCGTGACATAAAGTGTACGGAGAAATTAAGGAGTAACTCCTGTAACATCTCAATCGACCGTTATCTCGCTAGCACCTTGCCCAGTCGTCATGGCAACCAGACACGAGTGCCAGCTTGATAAGTTCCTAGCACATCAAGGGCAAGGAAAAGACCTTGGCAAGGTGTAGCAGACCGAGAAGCTCAGAGGGTCTTTAGGGGGTCTTAAACATCAAAAAGGTCACTCATAAATTCTGCATAAAAATCTCATGATATAAGTGAGACAAGTGAGCTGTACAAAAGACCGATCCGCACTCACAGGGAATTGAGTCATGATAAAATACTATAAATCTGGAATTATATTTTATATTTTTGGAATGGGAGGGGTAGGGGATAGTAAACAGATGACTTTCTTGGGAAAATATTTATTGGGACTGAAAAATGTTTGTACCAAAAAAGTAAATGACGTCAACGTTGAATTTGTTGACATTCAACACTTGAGCTTTTAATCTGTTATATTTGTGAGTTCCTGGCCAAAGGAGCCAAGGGGTTGAAATGGAAGTCTTCCAAGGAAAAAGGAAAAATCTTATTAGCGGTTACATCATAGTCTAAGAAGCACAGGGGACAAAGTACAGTCTTCTTACTGAGAGATTAACCCTAACTGCCTAGGCCCTTTTGGCTAGGAACTACTGTATGCTAAATCCTGCAAAATTCTTCAATTGTCAACATGTGAAAATTGGATTCAGCCTCAATCCTCCAAAATTATCTGTTATTTCTTGCATGTGTTCAGTGGAGGGGTGACCACTGCCTAAATCCTTCAAAATCATCCAAAAATCAATTTTATATGTTGAGGCAGTTTTTTTATGATATCCAGAAGCAGTGGGATGGTATCCAGTGTAATGTGGGCCTCTATCCTGCATGGCTGAACATAAACAATGCAAGGTACAGCCTACAACCTCAAAACAATACATTCTTCAAAATCAACCGACACTTTTTGGCATTCAGCCTCAATCCTCAAACATCCTCCAAAAACTGCCTAATTGATCTTGGAGGAATGAGGGTTTTGGTTTAATGGTTACCTGATAGTCTTAATCTGATCCTCCAGGTCATCTGCGTACATCCTCATCGGCCGATGCGGCTCGGCGTGTTTCGTCATCAACCGCAGGTCCATCTCGACGCTGTCCCCGTCGTCCGAGTCCCGCTCCTCCATACGCCGCTGTGAATCATCCGAGTTGCCGTGGTTACGCCGCTTCCGCGCGTACTCTTGTCGGTCCTCGTCGTCCGAGGCATCGTCGTCGCCATAGCGACGCTTGCGTTGGCCGGGGACAAACTTGCCCTCCCTAATTTTTTTCTTCCTGTCGAGGGAGACGGTGAGAAGGAGAGGATGTTAAACAAATTTTATCCTCTGCTTTGATTTCCGATCTTTAAAGCTGTAATATTAAAATGGCTAAATGATAAAAAAAATATGGTTGAAAAGGAAGGGCCTTTCTGACAGGACACAGATATAAGTTAAGACAATTGAACATAAATGAACAGCCAAACAAACCTCTCTGAGATATCAACCACATATACTGTTTATAGGCTGGGGCTTTAGGTTTTCAGTAAATTTTTTACTTAGAGGTAGTGTCAATCCAATGGACAGTGGATTTATAGGGGTCTAAATTGTTACACCTCCCATGGAAATAAAAAAATACAAGCTAAAATTGACCTTTCAGTTTACAAGTGAAAATAAATTTTAAAAACTTGCTTTCCAGACAATTTGAAAGATTTCTGATACTAACCTCAACTACATGTACATGTACTTCTATCCTATCTCCATACTCCTGCCCACCCCTTTCAAATATTTTTGTCCGGAAAAAAGATCACAATTTCCCCCTACCTTGGCTAAAAAAACAGGGGTCACAACAACACTACTTTGAGCTGTTCCAAACAGCTCAAAAAAACTTCCAATTGAAAATTACTTTTCCGGGTACGTACATGTAAACAGTTAAATGTGAAGCACAAGTTTGGAGTCAGGACACAAATAATTCGCAACAATACTTTGATTCAGCTACTTGCCGGACAAAACGGGTAGTCGTTCAAGCCACAGCAATAACTTAAAAAGGTAATCAGGCAAGGCTAATGTTTGTCCAAAATACAAGTATAAATCAATTAACCTTGCGGGTAAAACCTAAAGCTCCCCCCCCCCCCTCCCCGGATGTCGATTTCTATTAATTACCCTCCTTTCAAGAACACGTGTCAGAGCTAACAGCTCAACCTGACAGGTGTCTCATTAGAGTGGCTCCTTAACTCGTTAGTGAGAAGATTGAGAGTTTGCCTTGAGGTTGGACTGACACTTGTAACACCTGGAAGTACTTAATTATGATTTATGACTTTTGTGTCACTCAGAGGGCAAAGATTTTAATCGGTTTTTGGTAGAGGCAGGCTCGGGCATTTGTCACTCGAGAATCTAAAACGTCAATCAGGTTATTCGTCATTGTGGTTTTCTTATCAAAAGGTTCTTACTTCTGTACTTCCAACTGCTTCAAAATATGCTGGGCACTTTGCCAAAAATGTATTACAATTATGATGGCACATTGCCATAAATGTATTACAATCACACAAAATATTGGCACATTGCAAAATGATGGCATGTTGCCAAAAATGTATTACAATCACATAAAATGATTGCATGTTGCCAAAATGTAGTACAATGACACAAAACGATGGCATGCTACCAAAAATATATTACAATCACACAAAAATGATGGAACATTGCCAAAAATGTATAAGAATCACACACAAAAAAGGCACATTGCCAAAAATGTATTACAATCACACAAAATGATGGCACATTGCCAAAAATGTATTACAATTTAACCCTTACCCTACTAGACCCTCCAACGCATGCCAATATGTGCCTCAAGAAAATCTCCTATGTTTTTTGCATGGCCCTCCAATATCTGCCATGTCATTTCAAGGGTAACTGGACAGGCACTCCAATACATGCCACAGAGAACAATGAGAGTCCTCTGATAACAATCAAGTGCCCCCAGCTGGTCAGTATCAGGCACCCTCCAGGGCCTCCAACTCCTGCCAATTGGAGCCTTCACTGCTACATCAAAGTATCCTCCAATAAACTGCAGCTGGAGGGCATTGGCATAACCAACTGACATGCAGTAAACTACCCTCAGAGAGTAAGGGTTAATACACAATATCTAAATCAACTGATATTGACTATGAAAAACATCAATTTATTTCAATAGCAACAGATTCCATTAGAAAGCAAAGGCTACATCCAAATGATTAGGCTACGGCTAACAGTAACACACGCATGTATAATTGTATTTGTAAGCCGTAGCCGTAGCCATAGCCATAGCCGTAGCCAAATGACCAATCAACTTACAGTGATGAACTGATAAGTCCCTTCATGCCTCCAAAGTTAGGGTTTCCGTACTTGATGTAGTACTGACTGCGATGACCCGACTCATACACCTTCTTGTCAGCTGGAAACAAAATAATAACCATGAAAAGCCAGCGTTAACACACCAAAAATATATACAATGAATACATGTACACAAGTAATAGGTCTGATGGTATGATGTCAAAGTGTCACGTGACCATCCAGCTTCCCCGTGATCAGCCGCCAATGCAGCAGGCAAGCATTTGGTTTAGCAATCATGTCATGCATTATAAACTAGACAGTAGGGCTTATCGTCATGTAAACTAACCGCAAATTCTTCGTCAATGACAAAACGGTCACTATGTGTGCCGTGTACTGTTGTCACAATCGTGCCAACCCAGCACTTGGTGTTGACTCTGTTTTTCTCGCAGTTTTTGCCAACCATCACAGCTTTGAAGGCTTGCTTACATGTACTACCTACTGCATGCATTGCTAACCGATCTTTACTACAATGGCGATGCTGACTTTTGGGTACCCGGATGTAAGCCGTTATTAAAGTCAGTATTCCTATAATAATCTTTTAACACTCCCCTGTCAAATTGGCCACCAACCTGTTTATGTGCAGCAATAATTGTCTGTCCTATGCAGATTTCAACGCTTAGCCGCCGAGTTCCCGTTCAAGCATAATGCACTCACCTGTCGTTGCGTATCTCATCACTAGATCCCCCTGAGCCTCCTGGCACGGCAGACCCGTCCTATTCGCTTGCTCCCTACTTAGATGCACTGGGCCCATATCCATATCATCCTCCATGGTACTGTTATCGTCCATTATCCTGGCTATGGAGGGGGGCGGGGACGGAGCAGAATGGGAGGCGGATGAGGTAGGGTTAGGGGATCGACTGGTGCTGCGTCGATGTCTCTCCTGTTCGCCGGTCTCATGATCACTGACGAGGTCTAGGAAATCATCGTCATCATCTTCTAAATAAATAAATAAATAATTTGAGTCAATTAAAGGGAGTAAATTGGAATAATAACAACTCAAATTTCTTCGACTCAAGTCAAAATTTCAGCCTACCCTCCTCTTGTTCCATGGGTTCTGGTTCTTGCTCTTCCTGTGCCGGAGGGGGTGAAGGCGGAGGGGGAGGTACATGTATTTGTTGTGGCAAGATATGCTGGGGTTGACTCATGTTGAATAACGCCCTGGCAGCAGAATGGGGGTCTAGCCATACTACATTACCTGCAAATATGCAAAACAAAGGTACAATGTACATTGGTCGTGTTACTTAGGTTTTTTTTTTAATTATTGGCTTTGTCTTGGCTTCATCGTAACTGACTTGTGATTAGTTGTGATGAGTTGTGATGAGTTGGTGATGAGTTGTGATGAGTTGTGATGAGTTGTGATACGTTGTGATAAGTTGTGATGAGTTGTGATGAGTTGTGATGAGTTGTGATAACCTGTGATAACTTATGATAACTTGTAGCTTATGAAGACTTTGATGGCTTATGTTTGACTTGTGATAACTTGTGATTGCTTGTGATTGACTTATGGTTGACCTGTGACGACCTGTGATGGCTTATGATTAACTTGTGATGACCTGTGATGGCTTATGATTAACTTGCGACGACCTGTAATGGCTTATGGTTGACTTGTGATTTACTTGTGATTGAAACGTGATGGTTGTGATTCACTTATGAAATTTGAAACAATCATAACTGACTTGTGCTTACAATTATTAAAGCAAAAAAAATCTAACCTCAAAAGCCATGATAATTTCTACGACAAAGTTTCAGATTTGTGAATACTGGAGAACTATTTTATGTTAAATTTTCCACTGCAACAGAAAACTACAAAAATGATTTTTCTTTCTTTACAAAGTTTTCTAGTTGACCTCACAGCACTTTTTCCCAGAAAAAAATTCCCTCCAAGAAAATCAATCATGGTCATAAAACCGTCACATCCATGGAGTTACAATACATCCGGCATCGACTGTTCTCAATCGATCACCTGACGACAGAATTAGACATGACTCAAACCTATGAATGTCTGCGCCATTCCACAACCCACTTTCATAGAGCACAGGGACTAGCCTCCTAACACACTTCCTACGTGAAGTTGGACAAGGGCCACACAACGGCGTAACTGTTCTCTGTCTAAAGGCGGGTCGCTTAATGAATTTTGTATGTCGCCTGCCCCAGATAAATCCACCTCTATATAACAAACGACTCAGATGTATCATTTCTGGCAACTCAGAAATTCCCCAGCCCTACGCAGGACTCTTTTTTATTTTTAAATGAAGTCTTTTGTGTTGTCATTCGGGCGCGCTTACTAGACTTGTTTTGTACGAGGAATTGTGCGGTCTTCTCGCGAACAATAACAGTTCCTTGCAGGAAATTGTGAATCTTGGAGGAAATTTAAGCGAGATCCTTTCATTGTGCGTATCTGACCGGTTGGGAGTGGCACAAGATTTTGTTCTTGAATAAAAACTAACTTGAAGATTTTATTTTTCTACCAACAGTACTTTTTTTCTTTTTTTAAAGAAATGTTCATGTTTAAAATTGCTCAATGCAGCAAAATGCGGCAAAATATTTTTAAAGCAAATTCCTGTCAAAGTTCACAGCTGCAATAACTTGAATGCCATGTTTTTCAATTCAAAGCAAACTTGGACCCAATTTTGGACACCAAATTCTGACAAACTTTCAGTTTCAGCAGACTTCATATCAAGTAAATATATTCTACAAAAATGAAAGACAAAAGCTTACATGATGTGTCATTGATCCACTCAACTGATGAGGGATCGTAATCTTTAAAATAGTTGAAGACATCCTGCGTACTCATCTCGTCGACGCCGGAAAGAAAAAGGGCCTCCAAGCGAAGTTTGTCACCGCCTGCGAGCAAGAAATTCAACTAGAGTCAGGGATGTAGTCCAGTCCATCACAAGTCAAGTCACAAGTCCAGTCACAAGAAACAATGGATGAACAATAACCACAGAATGCCTTTGTCAAAGCTCATTTGAATAGCTTGTGAGTTGAATTGGGACTGGAGGACTTGTGATGGACTTGTGATGGACTTGTGATGGACTAGCAGGGACTTGCAGGGGCTTGTGATGGACTGAACTACATCCCCGACTCAAAACAAGGTCCTAGAAGCTCACAAGAAGGATTTATTCGGGGTCGCTAAAAATGTGTAAAACAAGCTGTAGTAGTAACGTGATGGAAATGAAACACCCACTTTCGTAATGCGCATTGAGACTTGACATACATGTATTGCCTACACATGTATCATGACAGTATATAAAACGAGTGGTACATTACCAAACAAATGCAGCATAGATGCTACATGACATAAATGAATAAGCAAGCCTCATTAAGACGGCCTCAGACCAGTGTAATTCACACATATGGCAGTGTGACGGGGAGTCAGTCAGTTGGGGAGGGAGTCGGGGAATCGGTCAGTCAGTCAGTCAGTCAGAAACAAAGAGGACGCTAGGTTTGTTTGTTTGCCCTCTGGGGCCAACAAAGCACGAGGAATCGAATGTCATGGCAACACATGGATCGATGTCAATTGATATTATGCGCCAAGTCGACGGGTATCGAGTAACCCCATGTCACGCTCGTCTTACGCCGCACCGGAAATTACAGGAAGTTTAACATTAAGCCGTTGCCTCAAGAATCCTTTACTTGGAAATGTGGTCCCCGGCAGGGTAATTGATTTAATGTTGCGTCAATTCATCAACATGTCGTCTTGATACCCATGATACTGTGGGTCGATGACGTCATGGCAAGACAGGGCCCAGGATTTTGGTCATGTACGCATAGTATGTGATGTGCACTTATGTGGGAGAATACATCCGGGTAGACACAACATTTTAATATCATACTCCCCAAGAACCCAAAAGCACTTTCAAATTGAGGACACCGTTAAGTAAAATCATGTTAAGTAAAATCAGACAGGGGAACCGAACTTGTGACCTCGGTAACCGATTTCACAAAATGCGTCTCAACTTACGATGCGCCGTAGGGTTTAAGCTTCTATCATAACCGTGCAACAAAGTTCAGAACTTTGCAATATTTCTCCCAAGCAATTTCAGTTTTAAACTCATTGTAAATTTCGACACATTCTCAGTGAATTTTAAAGGTATATGAGAACATTTTGTACATTTTTCTTTTCGTTTGAAGCAACAAAATTGCTCAAAATTTTAAGAATGGTTCATAACAACTAACTTGCATGTTAAAGTTTCAGCTCAGTGGGTACTAAAACATTTTGAGAAAACGTATGCACAATTTTTGGGGTCTCGTAACTGGATTACGCTGCTAACGCACTTTAAAAACAGTGTGCCCGCAGGCACATTGTTTTGCCACAATGATCGTTTTCTTCCAAATAACTATCATTTCAGGGGAACAATTTCACAGGGTTATTGGTACCAGTCCTATCTTTACTTGCGCAAGGATTTTCTCTTTAAATGGGTAGGTATATTTCCGTGTAATTGCAAATGTTCCTCCATATACATGTACATGAACATACATACGTTCCTTTAACAACTCCTCAGTATCTGTACTACATTGAATCCATACTGAGGCAGTACTGAGGCAGTACAGGGAGTAAAAGGCAGGACACATGTAGGGTTGGGTTTTTCAGGGACTAATGTGTTAAGTTTCCAATGGGCTTAGACCATAGCTGCCAACATTTCAAAATCCCAATTAGTAATCAACCCGCGCGGTCATTTTCAACTGCTCGTTTTATCAAAAGCTTTACCAACATCGAGTACAGGTACATGGTTTACATGTACACATACATGTGCATATCCTTCTTCTTGTGAATAATAATGTAATGTAGGCCAAAAGATAATTAAAAAAAAAAAAAAAAATTTTTTTTTTTTTTTTTTTTTTTTTTTTAATTAATTTTTTTAAATGTCTGTATTTGTTTGTTGGAGTCAAATAAATAATAACAATAATAAAATGTGCGCATATTTTTTTTGAGATGCATGCTACCGATGTGGAGTTTCGAGTTCGTATCAATGTTTTTACACACAATGATTTAGGGCCACCGTCATGACCGTATGCAATAGAAATATCCCGCCAACATACCTTGCAAACGCATGCTGATTTATCTTTTCTGGACGTTGTGACAAACTCAAACTGTAATACCAATTATTCCAACCATACTCTTATTAAATTCCATGATTAAATTCTCGCACTGATGGGTCTCATCCCGGCAATAAGCGACCAAATGTGCTCACGATCGTCACTGAAAAGTACTCACATACAGTACACACAGTCACACATTCACGAGATGCACACAAATGACACACCATTGAAAAAAAGTTTTAGTCTGGTCCTCAAGTACTCCACTGCGCACACTGCATTGATGTCTATCAGGTGCTTGACTGCATTCTTATTAGACTTGTCACAAGTCCATCCATTATCGCGACATTTCGCCAGAAGTTTTCGGTCAAAAACGATACTTTACAAGTATTTTTTTTTCATTAGGTAGAAAATGAGAAATTCGTAATGTTTTAGTGGCAAATCGTATTTTCGTAATTTAACAAACAATTCGTAATAATTACGAAAAATTAGTAACAGTTGGCAGCTATGTTAGACCATGAGATATCCTCACCGATGGTAGACCCTGGTGGAAGGATTACAGACGAGAGATTCTCAGCTTTGCTGGTCTTCTCCGACGACTTGATGCCAAATCTCTTGGCACGTTCCCTTCGTTTATGCTTCGCCTCCTAGTAAATAAAAGGTTAAATTGAAACAAGGTCATGAATTTGAAATTAGAATAATTATTTGAAATAAATATTCTCTGCAATACTGTTTGAATTTATTTCAATAAGAAAAGTTTGACAACTGCATATCTACCGTACATGTATAATTTACATAGCAATTGTTTACAGCATAATATTCTAATGCTAAAATTTGATGAAAATGTTGCTCAACAAATCCAAAGAAAAAGCGTTTATAGCAATGATTTCAAGATTTAAAAGAATAATGTACCGGTACCTGCACTAAATCAACATATCAACAACTTGCCTTGGAATGTACGTTGAATCCAGTCACAAAATTCCCACCGGTTTTATTCGGGTATCTTTTCACAGTTTCTTTCTGCAGAAAACAAAACAAAGAAACTCTTTTACTGAGTTTTAATTATTCATCAATAATACGATATGGGCCGTTCCGTTGGCATGTAACATCAGTGACAGAGCCTTTAAGAGCTCAGTGAATTAACCTGAAAATGTATTTTTCAAATCTTCTACATCCATTATCTAGTGATGATCAAGGAGATTACAGACTAGGAGTTTTGGATCATTTCTCTGATCCATTAATTAGATATCATGGTCAATTTGGGCGATTCACAATGCAGTGCGCCACCAAGAGTTTGCCATGGAGAGTCCATTTTTCTAGTTTACGGTTGACAAAACATGGCCCACTTGAATGAGTGTCAGTAGACAACTTGAACTAATTTGTTATAGATTGGGGCAAAGCGTTCTGCCACCTCAGAAAAAAACACCACATTGATAAAAAGAAAACAAAAGGACAAACACATACTCGAAGCATACATGTATAGTTATCTTTAAGAAACTACTGACTGGAAAAACGAACAATTTCAAATGTCCCGCGCTGTTAATTTGTCGACCATCTCCCACAATGCACTGGGAAAAATGAACTCTTCGTGGCAAACTCTTTGTGCACTGCATTGTGAATTGCCTGAATTGGCTCAGTCATGAACATTACACTTCCTTTCATTATGCTCGAATTGGCAATATAATACATACATGTATGTTCTTCTGGATGTAAATGTTACAAGGATTCCAATATTTGGAAAAAAAATGTGAGTTGTCTTGAAAAAATGAACAAAAAGATCCGTGATATTATTTGGTCTTAGAAGTTTGCATTGTTAAATATCAGCTAGTCACCTGCATTGCAAAATATATCAATGCATACGTGTACATGATGTTCTTATTGTCAATTATTGTCATTTAATTCTCAATCAGCACACACAAATTCCAACAGTCCTGATAGACTGATGCAATTCCCAAATGCTGGCCCATGGAAAACTTGATCAGGGGCATCATGACTATTCAAATAATCAATAAAATCCAAGTTTGAATAATTGAATACTCAAGTATTCAAACATGCACTATAACCCAATTTTCAAGTTTTATTTCACGCAGAACTTGTTTCATGAATAACTTGTTTGAAGTCAACTTTTGAAAGTTTTCATGCATTTAATGTGTAGTCCGTTTAAATTGCGTACTATACTTCAAATTCCCTTGGAGACCGGCATTCAAGAGTCGTCCCAAACCAAATTGTACTGAAGATTTGGAATATGTACATGTGTACGTAGCAAAATTAGGATCGACCGTTGAGTTGTTAGAAACAACGCCAGAGGCTGTTTAATGAAAAATTATTCATCAAGTTTGCCTGTCTGAAATCGGGCTGTGCTGATTATAGCGAATATCCGATATTCGATCATCAACTGAATATCCCAACAAGGTTTTTGGATTCAAACATCTGATCCAGTCCAAGTTGGAATAATCGAATAATAAATTATTAAAAAATACACAGCCCTAGTCTTAAACAAAAACACGTATCAGTCCAAAACAGATTAATATTTTTAAACTATGTTCACCAATTTCAGCTGTTACCAATGAACATAAAGTTAACATATTGACTACAAAAAGCACTGGCCAGTACTGATGTGCACATGATACATGTTTGTATACATGTACATGTACAGGTCTGCATTGAACAAAAAAATGTACTGGGTTTCAACCAAAATTGCCCACAAGTGGTCACAAAATTTCAAAATTCTTCTCAAAAACATTGAAGACAATGGCAGCAGGTAACGGATACATCCAGCAACTTACGTACATTTACACGTTCTTTATAAATCCAGCAGCCAGAATGTTTACAAGTCAAACGGACAGCGATAACGCAGACACTTCACCACAGCTGAACATGTCCGAGGCAAGCACCGACTGAAATCCCGTACGCCCTATCACAGCTGACAGCGCGAGTCAGCACTCAGGCACGACCGAAAGAAACTGTCGGACTAATCCACGACCGCGGTGCTAAATAGGAAGCATCGATTTGGAAAAAAAAAAATACTGAGATACTGGGGGGGTGGTGTGATCTGAAGTAGCCCAGTACCGGGGCTTGACAAATGACAAGTCTCGTGACACTAGGATGTAAAACGCTCGGGTGTGAGTCAATCGGTGGGTGGCGGCAAGCATGAAGATACGGTCTAACACTAGCCAGTCGCATGGCACGCAATCATCCCCCCCCCCCCTTTCGCAGTCTCTCCCCGTGCGTGATCGACAGGCACCAACTACCGTGAATATCTAGCGGTTCAGGCCAATCGGCGAGCATTTCCACTTTTGCACTGTGTATCTCCTGCCATCCTGCCCAATGTGTGTCATTTCCTCTGTGTTCTATTCCCTATACCTCTTTCCCTTCAACTGTTTTTCTTTCTCGGGATGGCCCCGCCCTGCTAAGTGAAAAGGTATCTGGGAGTTTGTAGTAATGGGTTTATTCAGTCAAGATTTAGCCTTTCCTTTTTGAATTAGCCATGGTGCTTTATGGCACTCCTGAGCTACATCCATCACAGATTCTGAAGGTTAGATGCCCTGTGGGCAGGGCTGCTGGTTACTTCCAAACTCGTGGCTTTCCTACCATGCCTACAGGCTACACTCGGAAGGTTAACTTGGAACCAAAAACTCTGGAAGAAAATGAACAAGCGTAAATTGATATTAAGCTGTCACGAGCAGCATGTGTGACTAATGTGGACAGCTGGGGCCTCATGGTCTGGAGCATTGAATTGGTGATCTGCGGGTCAAACTGCAAGTTGTGGGTTCAAGTCCAGCCTGGGGATATGGTGCGTGTGCCCTTGGGCAAGGCACTTTGTCACTCATTGCTTCTCTCCATCCAGGAGTAAATGGTACCTGTCGGGCAGAGATGGTTATTGTGGTTGATTTTAGCAGCATGCTTTGGGCCGAAATGGCAGCATTGAGCTGTATACTCCCCGAGGAGCTGAGATTGTATTTGGAATGTTTCATTGGTCCAATGAGCAGGGGGAATAATGATTCTTGTAAAGCACATTGGGACCTTGTATGAAATGTGCTTTATAGGTATGGTGGTTTATTAGCATTACTAACAAGAAGTAGGCTATGAGAACACACTTGTTCTTGTTTAGACGAACTTGTTTGGAAAATTGGTCAGAAAACGTGTTCAACCACAATGCCAGCTCTCTATATCTACATTTATAACTTTTTGGTAAAGAGTTTTAGAAATGTCTGACCATAGCTCTCTGTTCTCATGATATGCTCTCTGTAAAATAAAAATTGTTCAAACCACCCTCCGGTTGACCTACCGGTAGTGACAACACAGAAGAGTCAAGAGTGACTTTTCAGAATCAAGCTGCGCTTGACCTACGACCAACAATCTGGAACATATCAATCGCCAATTTTTAATATTTTTTGCTATCTTAGTGCAACGGCAACAAAATTAAGATGATCAGCATCAGTGGGTCCCTCAAAAAAATTACACTCGCAAAAGAAGCAAAATTGTAACTTCTGCACCATGGCGGAACGTGTTCCTGAGAGCGTGTTGAATTGTCCCGACATGAGCATGGTTGCGATAATTTAGTGTCAAGATGCTGCTTGTTCCACGATAATCACATGATTACTCAGGTTTGCAACCCTCTATAGCTGTTGTGCTCTATAGCTGCAGACACAACCAAAATTAAACTCTTCTTCCAGAGGGGTGCAGATGCCCTAAATAGAGAAAAAGCAAAGTCCCCAGGTTGAACTTAATATCTAGCAATCTAGGAAGAGCCTGAGACTGTTTTCCAACAACGCAAACGACGACAAACCAATTAATGACAGCCTGCTTTAAGTACCTGTCAAGTCAAACAAGCATTCATTATGTCCTCACGTCAGGATATCCGCGTTCCTCTACATCTGGCCATTGTTAATCAATTAGACAACGTTGTTCTTGTTGTTTGAGGCGCAGGCTATAAAAATCTCAAGGAGATGATGGACAATACAAAGGAGACTTTGTTGCTGCGGTAATCTGTTCAGGAGGCTCTGATCTGATCCGAATGATGAAATTTCCACGTGCAGTCATGATAACAACTTTTTGGTACGTCCTGTCCGAGATTAAAATCTACCTTGCCATTTGAGATGAAAAGAGGTTCTCTAACAAGAGATTTCAACATGACCACACTGGCAGATCCAGAACCTTCTGTTTGGGGGATGGGGTGCCAAAATCAGAAGGCGCTTACCGACTAGCCATAGCAAAATTAATAAGTGGGTTGGGTTCAGGGTGGTGGGAGTGGGAGCGGTGGATGTGGGGAGGTGGACGCGGGGAGGAGATAGATGCGGGGAGGAGGTAGATGCGGGGGAGGTTGGTGCAGGGGATGTGGTGCGGGAAGGATGGTGCGGGGAAGTGGGCAAAGGGGAGGTGGATGCATGGAATGGTAGTGCGGGGATGTGGATGAGCGGGGGGTGGGTGCAGGGAGGAAAGGGGCAAGGGAGGTAGATAGGGGAGGGGGGGCAAGGGCGGTAGATGTGGAGGAGGTTGGTGCAGGGGATATGGGTGCAGGGAGGTTGTTGCAGGGAGGTGGATGCATGGAAGGTGGATGCAGGAAAGTAGATGGGGAGATGGGGGAGGTAGAGTGGGGGATGTGTGTGCACGGCAGGTGAGTGCGAGGCAGGTGGGTGCGTGGCAGGTGGGTGCGAGGGAGGTGGGGAGGGGCAGAGTGGTCCTTATTTGATGCCAAACATGCTAAGGGACACTCTTTTCCCATTTTTTCCTACCTATATTTCTTTCAAAGGCACATAACTTTAATCTCAACCTTGTCAACACCCAAACTTAGATATAAACGACCATAACTCCCATCTGTCAAAAGCTAGCGGAGGTTACAAATCAACAGCCGGTTCCAAAAAAAGGGGGGCAAGATAGACGTTTTCCATGGGGAACTAACTGATTACCGTACCCCGGAAACATTTCAATCAAATGATCATTTCAATTGATACACGCGGACAGGAACCACCTGACTACAAGAGATAGTAGTACCGGAATCGTGTTCACAACACTCCAAC